TTCAAGACTCATCCTATCTTTGTGAAGCGGGATTTTCTGCGGTTACAGCGACCAAAACAAAGCTACGGAGCAGACTGGACATCAGGAGCACACTTCATGTGTTATTTTCTCCAATTATGCCTAGATGGGACCGGCTTGTTGTTTTATTTTTATGCTGTTTGTATTTGATTTTATGCTAGTCGTATCATTTTACTTGATCATATTTACCCCCCTCGGCCAGTCCTTGAAAATATTGTCTGACATATAGCGGTCCGTGGTGCAAAAAAGGTTGGGGACCGCTGGCCTAGACAGTGAATGCTGACACACCGCTGAGCTTTAATGGATTCATTCTTGAAGAACTGCCTCTCTGCCTCTATATTGTTTTGTTTTATGTTGGTGTTTTTACAACAGTCTGGCTGACGTTGTAGACCTAGTATGTGTCAGTGGGTGTCTGGCTGCTTCGTGCACGTTTGGACGTTACACAGCAGCAGTGACTGAGGCGTCCATGTTAATAACCAAAGCCAGTAAAACCGCATTATAGAAGTCTTGGTGATGGTTGTCATGTGATGCTGGAAGATCAATCGGTTAATCAACAATGTGTGTTAGTATTGTGTTTCATATTTGAGATGCAAACGTTTGACTGTGCTTTTATGTTTTTGGGGGTGGGGGTGGCTGGGGCCGGTGTAGATGAAAAAATGACAGGGCCAAAAATCGTTCCCAGTCTGATCCTGACAATAACAGATTACTTTAGGCTCAGCTCAGAGTTTAAAGTATTCAGATTCACTTCTCACCTGGTCAGTCACTGTAAATATGATCCTGTTCTTTCTTTATGGCATCACAACTACTTCAAAAATGGGATTTTACTACACTGCTGAAAAACGGCTCTGTCCATTAAATGAAAAATGCTCCTTCCCCAAGTTTAGTTTTATTGGTGCAGTTAAAGGCTCACACTTAATCTAAGCTTTTCTTTTTTTAAAAGAAGGGATAGAAAGACTTTCAAATTCTTTTCAATTAATAAAATGTAAATGGTGGTGATGCAATGATAGATAGCTACTGAAGCTATTAGAAGACAGAGAGAGAGAAATGTTCTTATAGATTGGCCATAATAAGGTCTCTGTAGAACAGAGTTCCTTTGCTTTTCCAAGGAGTGAGAATTAGGATGACTGAACAGATCACAGAGCGGCGTGAGCGTCTCGCTTCCTTCCAGAGATTCACAGTTAGACCTGCTGATATAGTTTTTCTCTTTTCTCTACAGATTGAACAGGAACGCATCGATAAAATCTGGCCCAAACTGCGCGTTTTGGCTCGATCCTCTCCGACAGACAAGCACACACTGGTTAAAGGTGAGACTCCAGGGTTTCTCACTAAAATGCACAAGATTCAGTTAAACACAAGCATAGTGAGCCATTTTTCCACCCGCCTCCGTGTGTCCAGGCATCATTGACAGCCTTGCTGTGGAACAGAGGCAGGTTGTTGCAGTAACAGGAGACGGGACTAACGACGGACCCGCTTTGAAGAAGGCTGACGTGGGCTTTGCTATGGTAAGCTCAGGGCATATTATTAACACTAACAAACATTTCTGCTGGTTCAAGTTGCTCTTTGTAATTGTGGTTGAAATGTGAAGTATAACAGGAGAATGATGGCAGTCATTTTATCTTCACGTCTTTCTAGTTCTAACTCAAATCATTTTTTATTGGTTTCAAAGTCAGTTTATTCAAAGCAGAGTGAGAGAAGACAACAGCTCTCCTTTTTCTTAAGCTCATTTTCCTAATTATGTGAAAAAAGCAATCCACAAACTATACAAATTAAGTCATATGATATATATATCTAGTATAGATATAGATATACAGTGTATATCTATATATATACAGTGTATATATATATATATATATATATATATATATATATATAAATATATATACAGTTCTGCTCACCATTATTGGTGCCCCTTCATGTTTTGCAGAGTTGAGTGAATATCTTCAGAAATTAATGGAAATGTTCAAAAGTTATATCAGCATGATCTTTCAATTTAAGGTCCAAAATAATTGAACAGGTACCATTCAACACAAATATTTTAATTCCAAAGGAAAAAACAGAAAACCAGCATGTGCACTATTATTGACACCCCTCTCTAATATTTGGTTGCACAGCCTTCGGCAGCAATGACAGCCTCCAAACGTTTCTTATATTCATCTAGAAGCTTCTTGCATTTCTCGGGTGGCATTTTCTCCCACTCTTCTTTTGCAATCTGCTCAAGCTCTTGTACATTTGCAGGGTTCCTTTCTCCAATGGCAGATTTCAGCTCTACCCAAATATTTTCAATTGGATTGAGATCAAGACTCATTGCTGGCCATTGCTGGGACACTCTGGATGATGGCTCGCGTCATCCAGAGTGTCCCCAGTGCTGCAGCTCCGGAGGAGTTGCAGGAAGTCGATCCTGATCAGGGATACAGATCAGGCAGGAACAGAACAGGTGGCAGGATCCAGACTTCCAGGCAAAAATAAGCTTCCAGACAGGTTCAGAGTCTGACAGAGTTCTGAAGCGTGGCCAGACGGTCACGCACAGCAGCTGACAGGATCAGGTGCAGATGAGCAGGCTCAGTGGAAGAGGGTAGCCGAGACAGGACGTGGAACCAAAAGTTGATGCAGGACTTTAAGCTGGTCTCCTCCCTGGAGCCAGGCTTACTGGATAAAAATCTAACCTCCCCACATAATGAGCCAAAAGCCCAGAGGACTCCGCAGGGGAGGAACAGTGGACGATCAGGAGACGAGACAAACACAAAAACCTCTTTCCACTGGCTGCTAGGATCCAGGACATGAACCAAGGAAATAAAACTGAACAGACAGACTGACAGAAAACAAATAATCTGGCCCCCGAATGCTCAGGCTGATCAGAATATAACCCTGAAGAAACAGGTGACAGGAATAAATTATAATTGAGGCAGGGAGGGAAAACGACAGGTGAAAGGAATTACTAATTAAGGAGAGCAAACAGGCCAGATTATGACAGGAGGACCCAGGATCTTCGCCTCAAACCAGGTTTTCTTACTCTGGGCAAGACATTTCACTCTAGAATTTCTTGATAATCTTCTGATTTCATGATGCCTGTGATACGGTCAAGGCCTCCAGTACCAGATGCTGCAAAGAAGCCCCACAGCATTATGGATCCTCCACCATGCTTGAGTGTTGGTACGGTGTTCTTTTCTTTAAAGGCTTCATTGCGCCGTCTGTAAACATACTGTTGGTGTGAATTACCAAAAAGCTCCACTTTTGTTTCATCTGTCCATAAAATGTTGTCCCAGAAGGCTTAAGGTTTGTCCAGGTTCTCTTTTACAAAGACCAGTCGTTCTTTTTTATGTCTTTTCTTTAGCAATATGGTCTTCCTTGGCCTCCGCCCATAAAGCCCCACTTGGTTTAGTGTGCGGCGTATGGTGCGTGCTGAAACGATCACAGCAGACTGCTCTAGGTTGGTCTTTAGGTCTTTAGATGTTTGATGTGGTGTTTTTTTCCAGCATTCGCACCAACCGTCGAAGACTTCTGTCATCAAATTTTCTCTTCCCGCCACATCCAGGGAGGTTCTTGACAATTCCATGCCTGGAAAACTTCTTAATAACATAACGTACCGTTAAAACAGGGATACCAAGGTCTTTGGAGACGGCTTTATACCCTTTGGAGTTCTTTTGCTTACAAATAATAGCATTTCTGGTGTCCTCAGACAGCTCCTTTGTCTTTACCATTGTCACATGTGAAGATGGACTAACAGGTGCCTTTTAAAGCACCGACATCATTTATTGGTTAATTCATGTCACATGTGTGGAGGCAGTTCATCACAAGTGATCTTCATTTGTGATTTGCAACAGGTGAGCCGAAGTAGGTTTTGATACTGATTTGCAGCAAAGAGTGCCAATACCATTGATATGGTAAACATTTTTCTTTGTTTTCCTCATAATGATGACCTTTTTAAATGTTTATATTATCATTTGCTGTTTTGCATCAAGCACAAGCTATCAGCAGTAAAATGTTTTTTCAAAAAAAATAAATAAATAAATAAAT